ACCAAGTGGCCAATCAGTTCCTCTGGACAGCTGACAATAGGGCATGGAGGTCAAGGCCTTCCCCTTGTGTTGGCTCTTGGCTCTGGGATTCAGAGGCTAATTGCCTCTGAACTTGGAGGTTCACAGAATTTTACACTTGCCAAATTTCCCTCCACAGGGCCTTTTACCAGTTTTTCAGCCTAATCTACCTTGCAGGGGTGTTGTGAAGATTTAAGCCATGTACCATGCCCGGAGTTACTTGGAGAAAGGGTGGAATAAAAAGGGAAGAAAATGAATTCTGCAAACTAAGAATGATTCACGCTCAACAGGAACGTCGCTAACAGCTCAATTAAAGGAGTTTAAAAAGCCACCGAAGTCTGCCACCGTTTCCCTCCCAGCCCTCGATGCAAAAATCACATATGCTTGGATTATGTACTGATGGTGCCGAGCCCACGCACTGATTCAGGAGAGCTTGCATTGCTGTTAGGCAATGAAGGCTAATCTAAAGCAAAACCTACCCAGTGAAAATGCAAATTCCCAGCTGAATAGAACAGTTCAGAAAGCACCGAACCCCAACCCCCAAAAAGTCCCGGGCCAAACAGAATAAAAAGGTATTTTCGCCTGACATCTAAAACGGGCTGCCATTCATTTTAAAAACTTCACACAACCTTTCATTTTAAAAAGAAGAGGGATTCTAGCATCTCCTTCCGGTCTCTTTCATCCTTTTATTGCTGTTTGCAGATTTTGGTTCGCAGGCGGAGTCCAAAGGTGCCTCCCCTGGCGTCCTGATCCAAGCAATACCAGCTAGAATTTTGCTTTCAGGTAAGGGACAGTCAAGGAGCTGCGGTGGCTCAAGTGGTTAAGATGCTGAACTGCAGGCTGTGGAAGGTCGGTAGTTCAGCAGTTCGAGACCCGAGTGTGCCGCATGACGGAGTGAGCTCCCGTCTCTCGTTCCAGCTCCTGCCAACCTAGCAGTTCGAAAGCAAGGAATGGCAAGTAGATAAATAGGGACCACTTCAGTGGGAAGGGAACAGCATTCCGTGTGCCTTGGTGTTTAGTCATGCCGGCCACATGACCACGGAAACGTCTTCGGACAGCGCTGGCTCTTTGGCTTTGAAACGGAGATGAGCACCGCAACCCTAGAGTCAGACTCGACTGGCTTTCGAGCAAGGGAGCCTTTACCTTTAAGGGACAGTCAATCACAAAAGAGAGGAGGCAGGAAACCATCGTTTCAGAGATGCGAAAATGCCTTGAAGTCAGGATTGCAACTCACAGTAGGGTCCCCGGTTCAACATTCATCGAAACAGAGCTGGAAGGGACCCCCAAGGGTCATCTAGTCCAACCCCCTGAACAATGTAGGAAATTCACAACTACCTTCCCCTCCACTCCACTCCCCCAGTGATCCCCTGCTTTACGCCCAGAGGAAGGCAAAAATCCTCCAGGATCCCTGGGCCAAACTCCTTCTTGACCCCAAAATGACAATCAGCATTTCCCTGGGTATGTAAGAAAGGGCCCTAGAGCCGAACACTGGATATTCCCTTCCTGCCCTCCCTCATGATCTGCCTAAATACAACAGAATCAGCATGGCTGTTAGATGGCCATCCAGCTTCTGCTTTAAAAACCTCAAAAAAAGGAGAGCCCACCACCTCCTGGGGGAAGAGAGAAGAAGAGAAGAGATTGGATTTATACCCCGCCCTTCACTCGGAGTCTCAGAGCGGCTTACAACCTCCTTTCCCTTCTCCTCCCCACAATAGACGCCCTTCACTCGGAGTCTCAGAGCGGCTTACAATCTCCTTTCCCTTCCCCTCCTCACAGTAGACGCGCTGTGAGGGAGGTGGGGCTGAGAGAGAAATCTCCAGGAATTCCCCAGGCCAAAGTAGAATTTTTGCTCACAAGACTCCACAGCTTAGTGGGAGCACGGGTTGGAACCTGTACAGCTTCCACAACTGATACTGTTGATTGTGTCCGGGGAACTACCTGGGTTTAAAGTTCCCATCTTCCTGAAGAGAAGAACAAGAGGAGGAGATTGGATTTATACCCCGCCCTTCACTACCCAAAGGAGTCCCAGAGCAGTTTACAATCTCCTTCCCCTTCCCCTCCCCACAACGGACACCCTGTGAGGTGGGTGGGGCTGAGAGAGCTCTCTCGAGGACTGCCCTTGAGAGGACAGCTCTGAGAGAACTTGCGACTGACCCAAGGTCGCCCAGCAGCTGCATGTGGAGCCGCGGGGAATCATACCTGGTTCTCCCAGATTGGAGTCCATGCTCCTAACCACGACACCAAACTGGGAGGATCACGTATGTCACAAAGACGGAATGAAAAGGGCATCAAATAAATGCATCTGTCCGACTTGACCAGAGCTAGCTGTGAGCGAATAGAGAACTGGGAAGCGAAATCTTTTCCAAACCGCTTTGGACTGCATCATAACACCGAGAGAGACAAGAGTGAGAGACAGAGAGAGAGAGACAGAGAGACAGAGAGAGAGAGACAGAGAGACAGAGAGAGAGACAGAGAGAGAGAGACAGAGAGAGACAGACAGAGAGAGAGAGACAGAGAGAGAGAGAGACATCGAACCCTCTTCTCCATCTGCCAGCCCAAGAGGAATCCACCTCGTTAAGGGTAGCTAATGAACTACCTCCGCTCAGTTGAAAGCCCCGCACGGAGGCACAGCTCCGGTTACGTATGAACACAAAGGACCGATTGAGACGCGGCGGAAGAGAATGGCTCCTGCTAAGTGATAAAGGAGACCCAAGTACCGGGAAATCAAACGTCCCGGGCCCCATCGGGAAGCAACCTGGTGTCCTTTGCAAAGGGTGTCGTGTGAGTGTGTGTGTGTATGTGGGGGGGTGCTGTGAAACCTCAGACCTGGGAACAAAACGACATCCATTTTCGTCCTGCGAGGTGCTGGCAAAGTTGGACCGCGCGGGCCTGCCCGAGAAGCCTTTTGAGCGCGATACCCAAATGAGAGAGAGAATAATTACTCTAGGGTTGCCATTCCCTCGATCGGGGTGGGGTCCCCCCCTCAATGCGCTACTAGCGGGGGAGCCCCATCCATGCTCACGTCACCCAGAGGTGACACCATCGTCCCAGGCACGTTGTGTGTGGGGGGGAACTCTATCATTTAAGAAAAAACTCTATGGTTACCATAGAGTTTTTTCTCAGAGAGTCCCATCCCAGCAGATGAGGACCCCCCCCCCCCGCCGGAACAGCTGTCTCTTGGCGAAATGGCTTCCCTTTCTGCACTTTCAGCCCCACCGGGGGGAAAAAAATGCCCCACAAGTCACAAGTTTAATCCCCGGCATCTCCAGTTAAAGGGACCAGGCAGGAGGTGATGGGAAAGACCTCAGTGGCTCAGTGGCAGAGCCTCTGCTTGGCATGCATAAGATCCCAGGTTCGATCCCCGGCATCTCCAGTTAAAAGAACAGGGCAGGAGGTGATGGGAAAGACCTCGGCCTGAGACACTGGGAAAGCCGCTGCCAGTCTGAGTAGACAATACTAATACTGCTAGACGAGGTCAGCCTCTACCTAAGGCGGCTTCATGGCTTGAGGCAAAGAGCCAAGCGGTGCACCAGGCCGTGCAGAAGGGCAGGAAGGAATGGGTTAACGCTGTTGTCACATGGGCCCTGCCAGACAATACGAACTGAAAATTACGCAGCGGAGAAGGGAAGATTTCCAGGAGACGCCAAGCCATTAGCATTTTTTACACAACAACAGCTTCACCATCCTGCCCGCTCCTTGGCAAAGCCGCTGCGTTCTCCTCCAAAGGAGAGCCACATGCAATTAGCACTTCACATCTGCCACCAGCCTGAGACGAGCCAAGGTGTTCTAACCATGCGCCAAGATAGTTTTCTAGAGAAGGGGAGACGCAACCGAGTACCGGTTTTCTAGGCTCGGAGTCTGGACGGAAAAAAAGGTCTGCTCAGCCTCTCCATCTTGCGTCACTCCTAGGGCCACGCAGCTGCCACCTAAAACGGCAGATCTGCGACTTCTCCCCCCCTCCCTGCCAGTCCAATGTTCCCTCTAAAGGTGTGGAGTCTTGTAAGCAAAAATTCTACTTTGTGAGCCACTGGCATTAAAAGTTGTGAGCAAGCGATTTGGTTACTGCATAAATTAGTTGGCTTCAGAGCCATTCTTCCTGAGCTCAGACAAAAATCTGTGAGCTGGAGGCTAAAAAACTGTGAGCTAGCTCACACTCACTCAGCTTAGAGGGAACACTGCTTTGCCACCCACCATGGGGCACCTGTAGGATGCCTGAAGTGACAATCAGCTGCCTCGGGAGGTGGTGGGCTCCCCCTCCCTGGCAGTCTTCAAGCAGCAGCTGGACAAACCCTTGTCAGGGATGCTGTAGGCTGGTCCTACATTGAGCAGGGGGTTGGACTAGATGGCCTCTGTATGGCCCCTTCCGACTCTATGGTTCTCTGATTCTATCACAGTGGAATCAGCTGCCTGGGGAGGTGGTGGGCTCCCCTTCACTGACAGCTTTCAAGAAGAGGCTGGACGAATATTTGTCAGAGGTGCTCTAGGCTGGTCCTGCATTGGGCAGGGGGTTGGACTAGGTGGCCTCTAGGGACCCTCCCAACTCTGCGATTCTATGGCTCTCTAGAAACTACAGTGAGGTAGGTCAGGCTGAAAGGGTGTGACTGGCCCAAGGTCGCCCAGCAGGTGTCCATGATATGAGTGGGGATTCGAACCTGTGTCTCCCGGATCGTGGTCCGACACTTAAACCCCCCGACACCGCGCTGGCTCTCTTTGCATAAGTGACATACGCATACCAGTGGCTCGCAGTCCTGCAAGCCGAGGACGGCACTGGGCGAAACAAAACAAGGTCCTCAGAACCATACTCAGAACACTACCCCATTCCAGGGGCCCGCAACGCTCAGTTTTTTCCCCCGCTGCTTCCGTTCAAGGCCACTTTTCCTGCCTCCCCTTCCCCTGGAACGTTTCAAGACGGCGGCACCAACTCGCCATTCCAAAATGGCGGCGGCCGGCCCGGAGACAGAAAGTTCCGGCAGCTGACCTACCTTGGTGGTGTCGTCATGTGACCGCTGGTATCGTTTCCAACGGCAACCGTAAATCCCAGTCAGACACGACAAACATAGCTGCGGCTCGTAGTACTGCAGAGGCTGGTGTTTAACCATGCTCTTCCCGGCGATGTCACCAGAGAGCTCTCAGAAGTCCATCAGGTCTTAGGGGGCCCCTGCAAGCAAGAAAGAAAGAATGAGAGGGTTTTAGAAGCGACGGATAGGGTTACCATTCCCGCGTGGGGGGGCGGGGGGGTCACCCAATTTTGGAGGCCCCAATTCGCCGCGGCCCAGCTGGCCGACAGGAGAAGCCCCCTCCCAGCGGCGCCAGTGCGATGACGTCACCCAGAAGTGACATCATCACATTTCCGACGTTGTGCGCGACGCTCTAGGCTTTGGGCAAAACTCTATGGTTTTGAGGCCCCAAAACCCCATAGAGTTCCGCCCAAAACCTAGACCGTCGCCCCCAATGTCGGAAACGTGATGATGTCACTTCTGGGGGACATCATTGAGCTGGTGTCAGTGGCACCAGGAGGGGGCTTCTAGGGGGTGGGGCTTCCCCCACTGGCCAGTTGGGCCATGGCAGATTGGGGCCCCTGAAATTGGGGGATTCCTTGGCCCCACTGGGGGAACGGCAACCGCAAATAATGAGGAGAAGGGGAGAGCTATGTATCCACAGAGGATGACCTGGATAAAAAATATGACTGATAGATACTCTCCAGCATAACTTTTATATCTTACTAAGCTTTTGTAAGGCAGGACTTACAATAGATTATAGCACTTTGCAAGATATGTAAGTGCCCTCAAGTCAAAATTGACTTATGGCAACCCCAGCAAGGGGCTTTCAATGCAAGTGTGAAGCAGAGGTGACTTGCCGGTACCTTCCGCTGCAGGGTCTTCCTTGGTGGTCTCCCCCAAGAGTAACGACCTTGCTTGCCTTCTGAGATCTGACGCGATTGAGCTATACCACACTGCCTCCCCTCCCACTTTGCAAGGTAGGTTGGACTTAATAGAAATGACTCTTTAAACGGCGTTTTTAGCAGTTCAGAAAGAATGGACAGGTTGCGCTTAGCAACCCTGATTACATAGCTGAGGGGGTTGTGAGGAACCTTCTCTGTTGAGCGTATAAAAACAGATCGGTACCATAATATTTGTTCTTTACAGGCCATTGAAGTGCCTATAAGGAGACTCTGAGTTGCCTTTGAAATGTGTGCCGTCTTCCCCCTCCCTTGTGCACGCACACACACTGTTGTTGCACATGGTTCTAATTTTTTTATTTGCTTGAGCTGACAGGGGGGGGGAAACTTTAATGGGTTAATGAACACCCCAGTACTCATTAGCGGACGCTTTTTCTGATTTATAATGATGATGGGCCTTTGGCCTGATCCAACATTGGCGTCTCTTATGTTCTTATGAGGTAGGTGGGGCTGAGAGAGATTTGACAGAAACAGCTCTTTTTCAAGGACAGCTGTGCCAGAACTATGGCTTGCCCAAAGTCATCCAGCCAGGTGCAAGTGGAGGAGTGGGGAATCAAACCCGGTTCTCCCAGATTAGAGTCCACACATTTAGCCGCTACACTAAACTGGCTGGAAATTCCACTACACAAACCACTACACCTGAGAACCCTAGCTACGGATGTTTTTGACGTATCTCAGGAAGCATCTTTATAAACCCAAGCACAGCTGGGGGGCAGAAGGGTTGGGAAAGGACAAAACAAGAGCCGGGGCAGAGGGCCCCAACACTGTGCCTATGGGAGCCTGGCAGCCGCCAACACTTCTTTGGTGCCCACCAAGTGTTTTCACAAGGTAGACGGTCCCAAGGGGCGGTCCCGCCTAGCAGAGCTTCTGATTGGCCACTGATTTTTCAGGTTGGCCAAGTCTGCAGTGTCTTTCGTGTTCTTTTATTCTTGTCTGGATCAGCAGTGGCTGAACATAGCCTAACTCAAAACAGGACACAGTATCTTGTTCCGAGGCATTGAAATGCTGGACAACACATCCAATTACCATGTCAGATTACACAGGGAAGCCACTGACATTCATAAACATAAACACAAGTTCAACAGGAAAGAAGGGAGTTTAATAGGGCATGGCTTTCAGGACCTTGAAAAACACAAAGCGCTCTACATCTGACAACAGCACTACAGATAAGATTAGAATTTCCACAACCAATCCATATGCAAAAGAACCTCCTCAGGAAAGCTCCTCCGTTAGCATGTCACAGCCTGGGGAACTCCTACCAGATAATGACTCAGCCCTCCCCCACCTTCCTGAGTAGATATAAACTACCTGCCTGCCATTCTTCTTCTCACCTCGACACAGAGAGTACTACATCTTTCTGTGTTATACCTCTGAGGTTGCCAGTCACAGCTGCTGACAAAACGTTAGGTCCTACAATGCCAAGACCACAGCCACATAGCCCGGAAAATCTAAAACAACTAATGAACTCCCGCCATGAAAGCCTTCGAAATGAGGAGGAGGAGGAGGTTGAGGACCTCTGGTCTAGATAGATCTCTAACAACTACAGTCTGGCCCAAGCAAAAGTGAAAGCATGTCAATGGACTACATAAAATGAGCATGTTCCAAGTCAAACCATCGGTCCACCGGACTCAACAAAGGTGGTTTGCCATTGCCTCTTTCTGCATAGCGACCCTGGACTTTCTTGGTGGTCTCCTGTGGCAGTGAATTCCATGTGTTAATCACTCTTTGGCAGTGTTCCCTCTAAGCTGAGTTAGTGTGAGCGAGCTCAGTTTTTTTAGCCTCCGGCTCACGTATTTTTTACTTAGCTCAGGAAGGCTGGCTCCAGAGCAAAACTAATTCATGCAGTAGCCAAATCGCTCACCTACAACTTTAATGCTAGTAGCTCACAGAGTAGAATTGCTGCTCACAAGACTCCACAGCTTAGAGGGAACATTGCTCTTTGGGTGAAGAAGTACTTCCTTTTAACCGTACTAACCCGACGGCTCAGCAATTTCATGGAGTGCCCACGAGTTCTTGTATTGTGAGAAAGGGAGAAAAGTACCTCTTTCTCTACCTGCTCTTTCCCATGCGTAATCTTATAAACCTCAATCATGTCACCCCTCAGCCTTCGTTCTCCAAGCTAAAGAGCCCCAAGTATTTTAGCCTTTCTTCATAGGGAAAGTGTTCCAACCCTTTGATCATTCTAGTTGCCCTTTTCTGCACTTTCCCCAATGCTATAATATCTTTTCTGAGGTGTGGTGACCAGAACTGTACACAGTACTCCAAATGAGGTCGCACCACTGATTTATTCAGAGGCACGACGATACTGGCTGATCTGTTTTCAGTTCCATCCAGGTCAGGGCAATGAATATCCATACAGTCTGCAACATTTAAAAAACTCATATCCTGCCATTACGTCCAATCAGGGCAAACCAAGGCAGCCAACGATTATAAACAGGACATAATAAAAAGAGATCACACATCTTCCGATTCGGTGGCACGGAACTCCACAAATTAACCATGCGTAGTGTGATGGGAAAGTGCTTGATTCCCAACAAGGGGTAGCCATTTATTCTAAAGATATATATATATATATATGCATATCACTCAGAAACAGACCTGGAGACACCCCACCGGCTCCAAATAAATCCCAAGCTAATTTCCGGAGACTTCCTTTCCAGCATGTAACATCTAGCTCCGACCGGGATGACTCAAACTAGTCTGATGTCATTAAATCTCAGAAGCTAAGCAGGGTCGGCCCTGGTTACTACTTGGATGGGAGACTAACAAGGAAGTCCAGGGTTGCTACACAGAGGCAGGCGACGGCAAACTACCTCTGAAAATCTCTTGCCTTCAGAACTCCTCTGGGCTCACCAGAAGTTCAGCTGCAACTTGACGGCCTTTTCCATCACCACCACCTAACACGGACAAAACAGACTTCCAGTAAAAGCCCAATCAAGGCCGAGGAGTCAAAGATACACCGCAGGGTGCCCAAAAAGCGTACTCCACATTTAAGCAACGGACACTGCTCCAATTGCAGGCGACGGGCATTCCTCCACCACACACGTGGAGCGTGCGGGCCGGGCTGAGCATCAAAACAAAGAGCTAAATATGTAACCAAGCCGCCTCGCAGGAGTCAACCTAAGACGGGTACTTAAAAAAACCAGCCAACGTCCTAACTGTACAAGGGGAAATCAGGCCAAGAAAACAACTCCACACTCTTTGCTTACCGCAATCCCCGGAGTTCTTACGCGGTTCCCCCCCCCCCAACAGCCACTCCCAACGGTTTCCAACCCTTTCTTTTTTCAAACAGCCGCCGGGGCTTCCGACGCTCCCCCTGCAACTCCCGTCTCCCCCCCAGCGTCCACAGCTGTGCCACGGGGGGCGGGGGGGGGGAGAGACACAGAATTATGAATGATTCAAGCCTCGGGCGGTTTGCGTTACCCGGACAGAAATAAAACAGGAACCGTGACAAGGGGGAATGAAATATTCATGCCATTCTTGCAACGTGCACGGAGGAGGAGGAGAAGAAAAGACCGGGGGGGGGGGGGGGGGTTGGATTAAAAAAATTACACTGTAATCCAGATATGGGTTCTTGGGTGCCCCAGGAAGGCTACGGCAACACCATACCAGAAGGGCTGTGGTTCCGTGGTAGAGCCTCTGCTTGGCATGCAGGAGGGTCCCAGGTTCAATCCCCAGCATCTCCAGTGAAAAGGAGCAGGCAGTAGGTGATGAGAAAGATCTCAACCGCAGACCCTGGAGAGCCATGCAGGGAGGCTGTGGCTCAGTGGCAGAGCCTCTGCTTGGCATGCAGAATGTCCCAGGGTCAATCCCCAGCATCTCCAGCTAAAAGGACCAGGCAGGAAGTGATGGGAAAGACCTCAGCCTGAGACCCTGGGGAGACATAGACAGGGGCTGTGGCTCAATGGCAGAGCCTCTGCTTGGCATGCAGAATGTCCCAGGGTCAATCCCCAGCATCTCCAGCTAAAAGGACCAGGCAGGAAGTGATGGGAAAGACCTCAGCCTGAGACCCTGGGGAGACATAGACAGGGGCTGTGGCTCAATGGCAGAGCCTCTGCTTGGCATGCAGAATGTCCCAGGGTCAATCCCCAGCATCTCCAGCTAAAAGGACCAGGCAGGAAGTGATGGGAAAGACCTCAGCCTGAGACCCTGGGGAGACATAGACAGGGGCTGTGGCTCAATGGCAGAGCCTCT